CATCTTCAGAACATCCTCTTTTTTCTTTGTTAAAGCTGCAATAGGTAGAAATCTGAAAAGGGTTTTTTTTTTTTTTTTAAAAAAGACTATGAAAAGAAGAAGAATTTGAAAATATACATATTCCTTCTCTATTCCAAGCCTATTGCTCCAGAAGAGTACATGCTTCAAATACACAAAGACAGTCAGACTCAAAGTCACTGAAGCACTCTGGGCTTTGGGTGAAAAACTCTGTGACTCACTAAAATCTCCCAGTACAGGCTAGATTTTCTAAAGCCTGGAAACAGCCACAGTGAGGTGTAACATTCTAGTTTCCTCTCTGATCACTTGAATTACAAAATGCAGAAAGATTAATATGGAATTTTTGCCCAATTATGCCCCCAAAATACTGCTTACCCCGGCTTTAAAGAGCAGGCAGGTTTTCTTTGTAATGAGAAAGATGATTTTGGCTTCATGTAAATGTTGCTATCTTCTGGACGGATGCAAACGAGATGTTTCCAGACTTTATGCTAAGCTAACTAAGACTGCAGGTTGTGTTTATGTATTACATTCTGTGGACAGATATGAAAGTTCAACCATTTACAAACCTTCACTTGTACATGCAATGTTAAATTCATAATGTCCATCTGATTTCAATACGCTCAGTGGTTCTGCTGCTACAGGCTTGTTTGGTTGTTAACTGATGATCTAATCTTAGAATGCTGTATAACTGATATTACTGAGTCACTTTGTAAACTGTATTTGTGCTGCTGTTTCACTGTATTCTCCCGAACTGAACTCCCACAGCTGAACCACGAGGTGCAGGACGGACAGAAACGCCGAGTCCTTCATGTCATAAATGACAACTATCCTCTGTAGTTCCCTGCAGTTCTCCTGTGTGTTCTAAAATGGTTAAATATATCACATACTCAGGGGTATGAAGTTAATCTAAAACGGTGGATTATGTAAGGGGAACCTCAGCCCAGGCTAATCCTCCTCTCCTGCGTGGCTCTGTTGCAGGAGATGACGGGGTGTCAGGTGAATGTTGTCGTTGAAGCATCTTTGGCTACGTGTTTCCTCCAAAGCTCTGGCTTTTGTTCACTCTTCAACCACAAAAGGAACTATTGCAACACATAAAACACACCAGCAAGTAAGTTTATGCACATATGTGGACATCCCAGTAGCTCCGAGGTCGCTCGCAGCGTTTTCCACCACATGAACAACTATGATCATTTGCCCTGCCGTTGCCTGCTGCACATTAGTGACTTGCTTTCTGTTTGCACGAGGACCCAAACGGCCAAACTCGTGTTTCTTTCTGATGCGCTAAATGTGCTCAGCGCACATTCGTAGGGAGATGGAGAGGAAATAAAAGATGGAGGATTGTGATGGGATGGATTTGATTCTGCGATTTCTGAATATATCTGATGGTTTATTTAACACGTGTGTTAAGTGTTTGTGGGTGTGTGGAGAGGGAGGATTTCTAGTTTTAGCGCCTGGTCGAGCCTGATAACGAGATAATTGGATGGTCCTCTGCTTGTCCACTCTCTCTCTCTCTCTCTTTCTTTCTTCCCTCCATCCCCTGGCTGACCACTCCCTCTCCTCATCCATTGGACTCCGCAGCCACCGACCAACAACCGATTGGCTGCAGGGGGGGAATTCTGAGGCAGAGGGACTAGTTAATTATGCTAAGCCAAGAAACTGATAAGGAGCCGGTTTTTAAAAATTTAAAACCTCTGGAAACACACACATACACACTGAAGTGGTTTAAAGAGAGACGGGCCCCTTTGAGAAAATATGAGACTATTTTGTCTGAGTAAGCAGAGATAGGAAGTGCAGGAAACACAGAAAGAGATAATTAAGCTCCTACATGTTTCTCATAAATCTCATAATATTTAAAAACTCAGTGTTTCCAGTCTCCCCCCTTTTTTTCCCTAAAACATCTTGAATCCTAAATAGCATTATAAATATTAAATTAAAAATACTAAATTCTCTGGATGTCGGTCCTTTCCTCTCCCCCCCACTCAGCTCTCAGTTCCTCCTCTGTTGCTGGTACGCTGCTGGCCTTTCCCCTCTCTTCTTGTTAGCTGATGTCTGTGGGCGGAAAACACTGCTTCACTGATCCACAACTCATGAAACACCACTCATCTTTTCTTTTTTTTCTCTCTCTCTCTCTCTTTTCTCTTTTATCTCTGCCCAAAACTATATCTGCTCTGGATAATTTGTGCTGCTCACAAACATGCAATTACTGCCCAGTATTTGCTTTTCAGTCTTTTGATTTTACTGGTAGAGAAGCAGCATCCAGTTAAACTTCTAACATGGACTGATGCTGAACTCATTTTCTTCCATCAACAGTAGCCACGCACCACATTTTGTTGGATTTTCTATAAGATTATACTTCCAAAATGCTTCCTGCAGCATTTGTTAAAACTGCAAAGCATGACAGACACGAGAGTTGCTTTCGTCCGTTGCTTTTGTGTGCATCAGTGTGGAAAGTTTCTCATTATCTTTTATGACATGTAACAATGCACCACAGTTTGTAGGATTTGCAAGCCTTTTTAAAAAATTTTTTTTATAAGATTGCACCTCCAAAACTCCTCAATGCAGCATTTACTAAAACCGCAGATAATGACAGCCATGAGAGTTGTTTTTGTTCCTTGCTTTGTTGTGGCAGAAACATTTGAGCTTTTCTCCTCCAGAATTGCCTCTGCAGTCCTGCAACAGCACAGGAACCACGAGAGCTCGCCGGTGCAGCATCGCCTGCCAGAACTCGAGCTGCACTGTGGTTTTCCTGCAGGATACTGAACAGAAGAAGCAAAAAAAGAAAAAAGAGAGAGCTGGATCACCGGGAGTATCCCTCTTCACTCTTCCTTCTTTTTTTTTTTGCTTCATCTCCAGCATGCAACCTAAATATTCCCCTACCAGATATTAGCGTTTTCCCAGCTGCAGTGAAGTGAGGCAAACTACGCACTTCTGAGGACAAAATCGAATCCAGCAGCAGCAGCAGAGACTTGAGAACTGTTAAAGAGTTGTCTTCTCACACTGTCAAAAAATATTATCCCTCCACCTCTTCAAAATGAATGTCTGGGGTTCAAAAGTAACCGAAGAAGCGAGGAAGACAAAAAAAAAAACTGCATGAAGAGCATCATTCTGCCAAGGCTTTCTGCGCCTTCTTGCTTTTTCTTGTCTAGTTTTGTGCCAATTTTTTGTGCTTTAAGGCTCCTTGAAAATGTAGCACGCAAAACTGTGCCTCAGTTTAATATAATCAACTTTTAGTTACGTAATTCTGCCTCACTGACTTGAACTGTTTCAAAAAATAAATGAAAAATAGGAGAAGCATTGCGTGTAAGTCTTAACATAATATTTTCTGGAGGGAATTTAGAGCAGACAATGAAAAGGTTATTTGGATGTTGCAATTATGGGTAATGAGGTTCTCTTAGAAGCTTATGTTGGGGCTGAGAATTGAACTGCAGAGTTTACTGACACATCGAAAAAGAGACGGAGAGAGAAAGTGAGAAAAAGAAAAGAGGGAGAAAGGGGAGAGAGAGAGGTGAGATGGAGCAACAGAAGGGGGGATAGGGGGGAGAGATCGAGTATCTGTGGGAGTATAATTAACTCCATGGTCTGGCTCTCTGCAGGCCTGCGGCATACTGCTCTGAAATGCTGATTCAGTACACAGATAGACAGAATAGCACGGGAGGGAGAAGGGGGTGAGGAGAAAGATGCAATAAGAGGGAGAGGGGGTGAGATGGGGGGAGAGAGAGAGCGAGAGAGAGAGGGAGGGAGGTGGTGTTGCAATGAACATAAAATGTGAAATGAAGCAATAGATAGCTCAGTGAGGGGATGAAAAAAGTCACAACTGATGGAAGCAAAGAGTGAAGGCAGGAGGGAGAGTCGAGGCGCCTAAATGAAACTTCACCATCAAACAGTTATGTGAGCAGCTACAGTGTGCAAATGGTTTACTTTACAATGCAGCTTATCTGCAGTCAGTATTGACTTTATCAAGTGCTGAACGTTTGCAGATGCTTCAGAAACAGCAGCACAAACCCCCCCCTTCGCCCCGCATTACCAGGAGGACAGCAGCGACACCTAGAGGTGTTGGAATGCAACCCGCGCTGAGTCGCTGCTGCAGAGTGCTGCTGCACTTAACCCCTCGCTGACCGGTGGAGCTGGTAACTTAGATTCATATCAAAATATAAATTGGACAAACTGCCCACAGTTGCTGCTTTGCGTTGGGTGCTGCTGACCAGCTGGCAGAAGGGTTAGTCACAGTTGAAAGTCGTCAGTATGTCAGCGGGACGGGGGGGGGGGGGGGGCAGAGGCAGCTCACATCTATAATGCATCAAGCTGAGTGTCGGCTAGTAAAGCGGACACAAAGACAGTACAATGGGAGCAATTAATACTGGAGAGAGATGAATGGATGGATGGATTTATCTCCTGCTGAGTGTCACAGTGCTCATGGCAGCAATCTAAACAATTTTCCAGCTGTTTGATTGTTGAAATTCTATTTTCTGCAGCCGAGGTGAATTAAACTGGAATTGTAAAACCTTAAACGTAAAAAAAAAAAAACCAGAATCAAACATAATCAGCATTACTCTGGATAGTGGAGAGAAGGTGCTCCGGGAACAGGATCGTTGTTCTGCTCAAGAAATATTGATATTTTTGTTGTAGGAGTTTGATATTTTGTATTAAATGCATCTCCTTTATATTTGTGTGGACGAAAACATCTTAAAACCACAATTTAAACCAACGTTACCCAATGCTGTAGTAAAATTTCCTTTTCTACTTTTCCTTGTAGTGAATTTATCATACAACAACCATGGCCTTGGTGTAACTGTTGTTATAGTCTGGTTTTGACTGCAAGCTGTATTATTGACACTCCTCGACTGTTATCTTCGTGGGAAAGCAGTGTGTGTAATGTTTGAAGGACGAATGCTACAATAAGTTGTATTGTCTTGATTGAATGTCAGACCTCTGAACACGAGCCTGCTGTATGAGCTCGACCCTTTCAGCTGAATTATTCACTCTGCATTTCTCTTCTTTATTATACTTTCACAAAATACAAAAGACAAATACTGTTGCACCTTGATTGGTTTTAATTATGGCTCATCCCATAACACATGGCTATGTATTCTTCACTGTCAAGGCCTCAGCAGTAAATCAAATACTGTAGAAAAATGTTTTTTAAAAAGTATTTTTTCCAAATTTAAAACCCCATGAGTTCATATATGATTCACCCAAACTTTGAAATAAAGTTCCCGTTGCTACTCTAGGCTATTACATTCTATACTTTGAAAGAGATCTGCCAAACAAGCATATAAAGTGCGTTCCTCTTCAAAACACGGCAGACGTTGAGTCCTGCTTTGCTGAGCAGGACAGACTACTTTCAGCAAACATCCACTCAACGTTATTTATCATCCGTTATACAACAACAACAACAACAGGAGAGGTACTGCTGCTGTCAAACACATAACAAAAACGATGGGTACAAACAGAAGCTGCGTTTATCACTGCTTTTAGGAACACAGCTCAGAGGGAGATGCTTATTAAACAGGCAAATAGGACATGGGATTTAAAGAGCCCATATTATGCTTTTTGGGGTTTTTGCTTTCCTTTCGTGTTTCGTGTAGACTTACACAGGCCTAAATGAACGTCAAACGGAGTCATTCCCACAGAAAACTCAACTCCTTACCAGCCTGACACACCTCATTTAAAGTCCAGGGTTTTTTTCTGTTCCTTATTTACATCACTGTGTAGTACATTTGCATAACGCCAGATTGCTTCGTCGTTAACACAAAGAATGAACAGATTTTTCGTAGTCTGCCATCTTTTTCTTGCTATGTGGTATCTTTTATACTCAGAGATCCGGGGTTACAATATGTAACCAACACTGGCTTGTTTGCATTGAGCAAGTTGACCGATCACACTAGACTGGATCTAAAAGAGGCAGAAGCTCAGGTGAAAAAAGGTGCTGCAGCAATGTCAGAAAAGATGAATGTGTTTTTGGCACATTAAAGCATGCAAACATATTTTAGCAGACTCCCCAAATGAAATGATGTACCTGCAAACCTGCATAATATGGGCTTTTTAAAGTAGTGGCAACATCTGATGAAAAACTGAACACAAATATTCAAGTATCCCTTCTTAGCTTATTATCCCTGATAAGCTTTCACCCAAAACCTGACAGCCTTAAATCAGCATGAAAGCTTACATGTTGATATGCAGCTGGTCGATCTGGATTCAATTAAATAATAAATGAAGCTTCCCGCAAGCTGCCACAGTTCGGCTGGTCTTTGTTTTCAGCCGTGTCCGTTCGCTGGACTCTGTGTGTCTGAGGTGGGATCAGGTTGATCATCTTCACTCTGCAGAAAGCCCCAAGCCTTGAGCAGAGAAGAACGCTGAGCAGGGGGAGTGAGGAAGTAGTCCTTCTGTTTCTCAGAGTAGGTCTGGACCGGAGGGACAATGTCTCGGTAGCTCCAGTCCTGACAACGGAAAACAGAAAGAATTCCTAGTGATACACTAATTTGGCATACCGTAGCATGGTCAAAAAAAAAAAAGCAGTTAAATAAAACTAAAATTATCCAATAAAAACAAGTCAAAAATACATCAATTACAATAATAATGTGCCTACAAAAAGTATTCACATCCCTTGGAAGTTTTCCTCTTTTATACTTTTAAACACTGAATCATGGCCAATTAAAGTTTTTGGCCGTAGTTACAGCATTGCGCCTGTGCGGACTGGTTTCAATCAGCATTGCACATCTGGATGTGCAATTTTATCCAGTTCTTCTTTGCAGAACTGCTAAAGTTCTGTCATGTTACACAGGGATTACGAGTTAACAGCCATTTTCAAGTCCAACCATAAATTCGCAACAGGATTGAGGTTTGGGTTCTGACTCGGTGACTCCAGAATATTCACTTTGTTGTCTTTAAACCATTTCTGTGTAGTTTTGGTTGTTTGTTTCAGGTCATTGTCTTATTGGGAAACAAATCTTATTCCAGTTCTCTTGCAGACTTCATCAGGTTGTCCTCCAGGATTTTCCCTTGCTTTACTGCATTCATTTTACCCTCTACCTTTATAAGCCTTCCAGAGTCATGATGCTGCCACCACCATGCTTCACGCTGGGGATGGTCTGTTTTTGATGATGTGTTAGTTAAATCACTTATTGTGACTGGCAAATCGTTTAATTACATGTTGAAAACTTGTATTTTTATGTGTCATTTGATGTGAATACCTTCCTTCTTTTAGTCTAAATATAAAAAAGTTAATTCATATGTCACCGACTCTACTTCGTCTCATTTCCTACAGCACAGACAACTGAATTCCTCTCAGAAGGGGGCTCAAAAGACAACAAACCTCCATCACACGGGTGTTCTCTTATCTAAAGGCCATCTGTCTGGGGAGCTTTGGCATGAAACAGTTTGGTGCTGTCTCTTTATTGTGTCTGCCACAGGTATTATTTTTAAAAGAGCTTTACTGCTGTACCTGCCAGTGAAAGTTGAAAGCCTCCAGCAGCTGTATCCTGGCCTCTCTGGAAGGCACACAGTCAGGAGGAAGAGGCTGCACCAGTTCAGATCCCACCGTCACATCTCCAAACACCAGCAGAGCTCTGATGGCGAACCAACCTCCAAACCTGGGATGCACGCACACTCCGTACATTTTCTGCAGACGAACAGATCAAAAAGGTGAGAAGATGAGAAATGTACCTTATCAGCAACCAAGGACATTCCAGACAAAAAAAAAAAACCAAGAGCAGCTTTACTTTTCCAGCCCACGGTTGGTCTGTGACGTCAGACTGTTGGTAGTAGAAAGTAGCTCCAGATACGTGTGCGGCAGTCTGCGCCAAGAACTTCGGCTTCCTGCTGGGCAGCAGCTCATAGTCGAACCTCACATCGACTTTCTGTTCTGGAAAACACTACAGGGAGAGAAGAGGTGAGGAGAAAAAAGAGAATATTTAGATGTCATTGCTAGATTTCTGAACTTCTCTGCCCCTACTCTACATCAAAGTCTCTCAGATCCTCAGAACAGTTGTTGTTAACTATTCCACGATCGAGGCTGGTGGGTGAGGGGAGATCGAGCCTTTGTTGTAGCAGCTCCAAAGGTTGAAATAGCCTTCCTCTTGCAATAAGAAGTTCCTCCTTCTTTGTGCCTTTGACATTTCTAAGTAAAATCTCAAGACGTACATGTTTTCGTTGCCATTTGGTAGTTTTTAATGGTCCTGATTTTTTTCCTTTTTTTAATCCTAAACTTTGATCTTACAGCTTGTTATCCAGTTTTGCATTGTTTTATTATTATATATCATTTTACTTTTACAAATGTATTGCTTGTTGCTGCCTGACTCTTGACATGAACAGTACTTCGGTCAACTCTTGTTGTTTTTAAACCTGCTATATAAGTAAACTTGATTTGATTTGGACCAGGAAAATAGATATAGATAGTCAGTAGATTATGTTTTTTATTTTATACAAGGGGATGGCACAGTGGACCACAGCATACATCTTCCGAAAGCACACTGTTGCAGGATTTCTTCACCATAACTGCAACATTTCCATTTACTTTCCTACTCTCCCAACTACAGTTGTCTTTTTGGAGCTGCACATCAGAGTAACTCCTTTAAATTTTATACAGTGGACTGACTTTTTTCATGCAGGATTTTTCTCAAGTTCTACTGCAAGCTGGGACCTTTTCGATGGCCCCATTCAGTTTGCAGGGATGTATGTAGTCATTCACACCTACTACTACTCTCTCACAATGCATATACAGTACATCAATATTAATCCTACCCCAAACCAACCGTATAATCTAATCTTTTCTCCCCTCTATCACAATCTTCCACCCTCACCTGTGAGACAGCAGAGGTGACACACTGTCGGACACATTGGTCTATGGGGTCAGAAAGCCCCCGGCAGCCCCTCTGCTCCATGAAGGGCAGGAAGGCTTGTTCAAACATCGCAGGAGTGCTGAGAACCACCATAGCCAAGGTGTCATCTGGGTAGGACAGGTGCAGAGTGGCAGGCAGCAGAGAGTTGTACCAACCAACCTGTAAACATGAAGGAAAATATGATTAGTGCTGCACTGGGTCAAAAACAACAATGTTAGATGCCTAAAAGTTAAGAAAATACTAAATCAGGAGCTCTAGTCTCGTACTCAGTAAAGATGAAGAATAATAACTGTCCCATATCAGATAAATTAAATTCCAAAGAGTCTCTGAGGAAGGGCTGAACAATTTGGGAAAATATCCTTTTATCTAATATGATTATTTGACCCTTAATCCGAGACACAATGATTTTAACTATAAAAAGCCTTTATTACTGTGTGGATAAAGACAGCAATTTGTTAAGAGCAATAAAATACACACCGTGTACAGCAATACATCATTTTCTTGCTTTGTTCATTTATCCATGCATTAATAAAGAATGTATATTCTTTCAAATCAGAGTGTTTCAGATACTTTATCTGCCAACCAATAGGTAAGACTCCCATTAATAAGAAATGGCGCAGTCAGTGTTTTTTTAATCAGCCTGCTAACATATCGAGACAAACTGCATGACAGGGGAAAAACAAGTAAGGACAATGAGTAAACACTAAGAAGCCAGTCACCTGAACAGTATGTGGAAAATATACAATGCAAAAGTCTTCAGCCACTTATCGGGTTTCTGTTTTTGCAAAGGTTGTAATGACCATATTTATTTTTCTGTCTATTCTTTAAGAGACAAAAAGAAAACAGGAAACAAGTACACTGTTGTAAAAACACAAGAAAACTGACCAAAATCAAATGGTAAAAGGGATCAAAATTTGTGTGTACTTTTCAGCATTCATGATTCCATCAATTTGGACAATATGTCCAAGACCACAGGAAAGAATACAGCCAGAAACCACAACAGCTCCTCCACCATGTTTCATCGAAGGCTGCAAGCACTCGTTCTTGTGTCTCTGTCGAACTCCTCTTCTCACATATTATTGACTATTGGACCAGAATATTTCACCCTTTGCTTCATCACTCCACTGTGCTGTTTTCTATTGATTTTCACTCCAATCTTAGTGAGCTTTTGCATGTTTCAGCCTTTTAGCCCTGCTTCCCATCCCAAAAAGAGGTTTCTTGGCTGCTACTCTTCCACAGAAGATATTCCTGATCAAACTTTTCTGGACTGTACTTGGACCAACTTGGCATCAAGATAAGGCTGCCAAATGCTGAGCAAGTTTTTTGCTAGACATCTTCTGATCTCTCAAAGAAGAAACACAAACAAAGTTCTTATCAGACACAGACCTCTCACTCTTTTTTGTCCTTCACCTCTTCACAGATACACTTGTACACACTATTTTTTTCTACTAGCTGCTCTATTTTATACTTGCAAATTTCATACTGTGCTTTCAAAAAGGAATTCTGCTTCATTTCTTTGTACACTGTGAAAGAAGTGAGTAAAAGAAGTCTGTACAGGGCCGCCGCTGTAGCTCACCTGGTTGAGATGGCGACCCATGTTCAGGGGTTATAGTCCCCGATGCAGCGGACATGGGTTCGAATCACGCTCATGGCCCTTTGCTGCAAGTCCTTTCCCCATTCTTGTCCCCCACTTTCCTCTCGCTCTCTCTAAATTGTCCTATCTAATAAAGGCAGAAAGGCTATAAAAAAATTCAGATATCAACTTTCTTTGCTGCTTTATACAAAAAGACTCCCACAGTTCTCATTTTCTATCTCTAATGTACAAGTTTTTGAGTGTCTAGAAAAACGCTATATACATCTGATCAATTATTATTATTATCATTAAGAGATGTCTGTCTTTTATAACCAAATGCATTCTGATTGAAAGGTTCTTGAATGCAGTGTTATTTGCCTTTATTCAGAAAACAAAGAGTATGTTGACACGCAGGCACCACATGTGCAAAGCAAAATGTATGAAAAACAGCGGAGAAATACTGTGAAGGAAGAATATATTGCAAAAAGAATTGCAACATGAATTGTGTAGAAATTATGTTAACCAAAAACAGGCACGCTCACGGCAGTGTCTTGCAATTGTTGCCACCACATGAGGCAACAGGACTAATTTGACCATTTAAATCAGCACCACGAAGCTCTGGATGATTAGTGCCAAGCCAGATCTCAATACCATTTAGGCAAAACACTATTTTGGATCCCTCCGTCAGTGTAACAAAGTAAAAGAAAAGTTCAAAACTGCTTTTTAAATATTTTCAAAATGTTACTATGCAGATGCACATGCAAAAAAAAAAAAAAAAAAACTCAAATCATCAGCATTATATATTTTAGGAAAACAACGTATGGCAATGTCATGTTATTACCTTGTTACCATGCAGCCCTAACATGAATGGTAATTTGCTTTGCCTTTACCTGACTAAAACCTAAGGCAACCTAATAGTAGTCTGCTCTACCGTACTGTACACCGGTATACACATTTATATTCGCTACACGAACATTCATTCGAAATTTAAATACTGAAATTAAGTACATGAAATATTTTACTTTCAGAATTGACTGCCCTTTACAACTCCTCCCCTCTCAGTCCTAGTTGAAGGCAAGCAGGTACTAAACTACATTTCTCACACTTTGTAGTCCGTTTTACTGTCAAAGCAACACGCTATAAAAAAAAAATGTCGTGCCACTGTACCTTTAGAGGATACACTTCAAAGCCCAGCTTTGTTAAACAGTCGTCCAAGAGTCCTCTTATACTTTCCACATTGACAGTGGAAGCCGCCATTGTTGCATGTCAACATGGAGCTTTGGATTGTGGGATATGATGTTCTTTGACCGGCCAATGTCAGAAAATAAGGTAATCTTTTGGTTGTTTTTAAAATAATTTATTTTAACTAAACTAGTATTCGAAATAACACATTCTATATATTTTAATAAGCGGCATTGTAATTTTGTAATTGACGAGCTTAACCTACAACAGCTAATAACTACACTACCCAGAAGCCCCCTATGCGTACGACGTACGTCATCACGTTGTTATTACGGGCTCCTGGATTTAAAAGTGGAGTCGCAGTGTTTTCTGTGAGTAGCCTGGTTAGCCAGCTAGCAGAAATATTGGTATTTATGTATTTAATAATTAATGTGTGTGTTTATATTCCAGAGACAGCGTTTAAGTTTTTAGCAAAGGCAGATATCGTTAAGAGTTTCTGAGGCGATAAATGTGCTTTTTTTGGCCAACTAAAACACAAACGTCATGAAGCCAGATAGTTCGAAGCGTCGTAAAACTGCTGCTAACAGACATTAGCTCGGGTTAACGTTACGCCAACATCTCCTGTTTAACACTTGCTGTGCCTGTGTGTGTATTTGTTGCGCATTTCGCTCCGTCTCTGTTAGCATTAAGCGTCCTGGAGCAGGAGGATCCAGCATCGCCTGCATTTCAAATCAGTATATATTCCCCGCGGACAAGCTGAGCAATCCAATTAGATTATCGCACATTCTGGCACCTCCGACAGAAGCTACGTTTACCTGTGTGGCAGCTGATAACCGTCACTGAAAAATGGAAACGTACAGGCCTGCTGTAACTGAATCCCCCTCAAAGTGTCAGAGATCGTAACTCAGCTGTTACCTCACCCACCAGCCGCAAAACACGTCTAAAGTTACTGCATCTCCATCCTGCAGCCGTTTTTGATGCAATCAGGCCACACAACATTGTCTTGCAAGAATTCGTGAAGTAGTTGTGGTGACTGATTCATTTGTCAACTTGGCTTGACTTTCTAGTCCAACTCAGACATGAACTGGGACAATCAGCTGAGCTCCATCCTGTCAGTAGCAGATGGCAGCGTTGCAAAGATGAGGGTAAGTAGACTAAAATACACTCCTTTTTATGTAATAGCCTTGCAGGAAATTGCATTATTTCGGTGCACACAAAAGCTTTTCGTGTTGCATCAGTGCTGAGTGTGTGCAGCATGGAGAGAGCCTTTACTTTTGTCTTGTGGTCAGTAGTAAAATGTCGTTTTTTGGAGCCATCTGTAGATGGCACTAATGCTCTATTAAAGTTTCACTGTGATTCAAATTAAAGCTGTGCAGTGACAGTGAGACTACAGGAATACCCTTTGAATTAGAAAGTTTTTTTTTTCCATGTCCACAGGAGAGACTAGCGTCACCTGGGAAATTCTCCAAAGGAGGAGAAGGTGGGTGAGCTATTTCAGATTTCTGAGTATGACTAAAAGTGGAAATTACCTTCCTTTCTTTCCGACCACAAAAAGTAATGAGCATCCTACTTGTTAGAAATCATTTGATGTGATTTACCCCTTTAGTGAGCAAGCTTCCACGCACGTCTCTTCCTCTCCAGATCTGTTTCCAGCGAGGGAGAGGGTTCGTGAGTCAGATCTGGACCCTCCTGCTCTTCCCCCTCGAGCCCCTCTTCATCGACAGCCATCCCCATCTCTCAGTCCTGGTGTTCAGTGGGCGGACATCGCTTCGATCCAGTCACAGCTCCAGATTCAGAGCCAGGTGTGTTTATTACAGAGTGAAGGCTAATCTGAGATGTATTCATGTAATGTAAAGGTTCTGTGTGCGACATTCAGAACTGCTGGATGACGCTAGAACATCAACATAGACCAGAACAAATGGACACACCTCCCCTCTTCCCTCCCTTTGTTTTACGTCCAGAGAGGTTTTCTATAAGAGAGCGATAAAAAATAATGCAACCACAACCATGTACTCACCCTAGCATTGTAAAATACACTAAATGGCCATTAATTTAACTTCTCCGATCTTTCCCTTTTTCTCATCTCTGTTCTGCTCCATGTGCATCTGTTTTCATGGTCCATTGTTTCGCAGCAGATCTGTAGATAGATCAGGTCCACTCGTGTATATACTATGAGTGAATAGCAGAACAGAGTCTTAAAATAGCAGTAGAGACTCCCACGCTGAGGTGGAATTAAATGCTTGTGCAGAAATGAGTTAAACAACATGAATATAATGCTTTGGTTTTAAATTCTTTGGATTTTTGGGGCACTGACTGAAAGCTGGACTGCACTTTCGCTTTCCTAATATGATGTGGGAGGTCGCTCTTGGTCTGTTTATAAGCATGAGGACAGCCAATAGTTTCAAAGGGAGGGACTCACACGCACTAACGTGTATTAACTTGCGCTACCATGCATGCGCAGCTGGACCAGCTGCCAAAACAGAACAGAGAAGCTCACATTACAGCTCCCACAGAGGCAGTGACTTCATTGTCTACTAAGGATGCCTCCTGCTATATCTTTACATAGCTGGTATATTAATGTTTAGCATCTTGCATATTGCACTTTGAATTGAATTTAAGCAGAGACAAAAGTTTTCCAATTGTCTTTTCAAGGCGATAGAGTCCCTCACCCAGAAACTTCATGACGTGGAAAGAGAGAGACAATCTCAGCGATGTCACATTCAGACGCTACAAGGTAACCAACTGCTTCACCATTAGTTATTCTCCTCAGTGTGTCGTTGGGTAATGTTATCCTCTAATAAAACACAGCGACATCTGACACACGTTATTGTTAACTAGAAGAAAGGAACTCTTATCTGATTAAATTCTGTTTAGTGTGGTCACACCCAAACTAACTTAACAAGTGAAAACCGAACACTGACCAGTTTGTTGAAAGTGATGTTTTTTTTTATTGTAAATAAATCATCACCACACAGTTTTTGACACGCACGTTGCTTCCATGATAGATTATTCAGTGCAGCAGCTAAGTCTGAAAAACAAGAAAATCTGGTAGTCAGATCCAGTTTCAGTGCACAGAAGCATGTCGAGCCTTTTTATTACAATTTCTAACCTGGCAAAAGTCATTAATGTTCACAGAAACCTCCACCTTGAATGCAGTAAGTGTTTTTTTCTCACCTTTGTCTGACCCTTCACATCAGTGGTTACATCATAGAATTGGTCTCCTCTTTGCATATCTGTTTGATGACTTAAAGAGATTGATAAAAATGAAATATAACTCCAGTGTTGAAAACCCAAAAAGGAAGCATGCACACACAAAAGCATCAGGACAAAGTTGTAGCATATTATATTATGTGTTGACGTGGCTGGAATTTTCACATTTGTTTTTACATTTGGGTACCCAACATAAGAATTTGAATATTTTGGTTTGGCGATACAAACAAAATATACTGGGAAAGTGCATTCTTTTAAAGGTTTCATTAAAAATAATACACTTTTGCTAACTGTCCATCAACTGTATGCAACGTGTTGTTTTAGCTGTTTTACCTTCTTTCCACACTGTAATTAAAAACACTTTAAATTAGCTTTTTAGGTGGTTGAAAATCCATACGTTGTGTAAATATACACTCTAAATGTGTTGACTACTTTAATCTGAGCAAATTGATTTTTCTGGCAGCCTTTTCCCGCCTCTACTTTCCATTAAGTGCATATAATAATAGTAATAATAATAATGATAATAATAACTTTGTGTATATTCACAAGGTGCTTTGACGGTAAAACATGCAATACAAGGAAGTCTTAAGACTCAAAGAATTAAAACAAATTAAAAACAACATCACACCAAAGAATTAGGCAGCTATAAAAAAAAATTAAGAAATAAAAGCAACATAGGATAGAATTTAACCGTTAATATGACACGGCTGCATTAAGGCTCAAAGCAGGAAAAATGCTTCAATTTTTAGTTTACAATAAATACTGTTCGATCGGCTTCGACTGCATACCTCCAGTTTCACTTAGCTTGTCTCAGGAGAGATGTAGGGAAATGGAACCAGTAGCTGAATACTTGCGGCAGCAGGAAGCGAGCGGATTTACAGGAAAATATGGTCTCAATTTTATGAATCATCAGCACTTAAAGCTGCGCGTACGGGAGACGAGAGCAACCGAGCGGCATTTATTTATTGTTTCACAGTCTCGTTTATTTCTGTCGATGATGCTTATATTCCTGACTCGATCTACCGTGAACTGGATAACTATAAATATGTTTGATGCATGAAAACGCTGCCTCACCGCTGTGCTAAGTTCAGCTGAAGCACGAGTTTGGTCTCCTGTGCCTTCTCTTTTCACTGTCCTCTCCTGGTCTGTCTGAAAAAGCCAAATTCACTCATCAGGAAGGGGTTCATTCATAATTAATGACATTAATAAATTATTCCGATTTGTCCACAAGGCTGCCAAAAGAGGGAAAATTCCCTACTTACACTAATCTCTGTTCTCATCTAGAGGAAGTTCACAGGCTGCGCGAGGAGCTGAGGGAGCGGGAGATGGAGAGGGAGGAATCGAGGAGGGGACAGAGTCCGGGAGCGGAGAGAAGGATGGAGCAGTGGAGGAGAGAGGTTGGGCGTGAGCTGAGCAGTCTGCGGGGACACATCACCCGAGCCACGTCGCTAGGCAACCTGGAGGAGAGGTGAATTAGGGGTGGAGCTGGTGGAGGCGGAGGTGGGGGGTGTAACTGCAGAGTAAACTGATGACAGGTCCAGGCCAAGATTGATTAAAAAAAACATGTTTACGCCTTTTATAGAATTTAAAAAGAGCTTTCAAAGCAGTGTGGGTGTCACTTTCATTTTGGGGAAGATGTCAAGGCGGTGTTATCGCATCATTTCAGTCTTTTTTTCCCCCCTCCCCAGTTTCAGCTCAAAGATCCACCGAGAGGAGCTGGAACACCTGCGGAGAGAGTTGGACCAACTGAAAACACGGCTAAGTGAGTTATGTTTACGCTCGCACAAGCACCGTGCCCTTTCATTGATTCAGCGGGACCGCACATGTCCTGGCCCACTGCTGGCCTGTAAAGGAAAGGCAAGCACGATCTTGCTCGTAACGTCGGCTCTTTCTTTTCCTCTTGACAGGGAGGCAGGAGGAAGACGTGTTCCTCCAGCAGGCGGAGGCCAGAGAGACCAGGAGACAGTACGAACGCAGCTGCAAGGTGCACACACACATTGTATCGCACAGGTTGTTTGCTTCTGGGTTTGTGGTTCGTATTCTCTCAGATACTTAACCTTTCCTTTGTGTGCTTTGTTCAGACGCTGGAGGAGCTGACAGACAGCTACAGAACTCACAGCACTGATCTGACAAAGACGCTCTCTCAGTATTCTCACACACAGCAAGAGGTCCGTCAGATCAGGTGAGTGATGTGCGTATTATGTGTGCCTGGGCTTTATATCTTGTCTTTGAGTGGATTACACGTTTCTTCTCTTACATCAGGATGGTTGTGTCAGAGCTGAAGGATGAGGTCCAGAGCCTCGTCCTCCAAGAACCAGCACCTTTGCCGTCAGCACACACATCAGGTAGGTGTCTCTTCTTGTCCTGCTCCACCATACGCTGCCTGATAAGTCTATAAGCATATTTTTTTTTCCTGTTTGATTCAGGGGCCTCACCACTCCCGCTCCCTCACAGCCACAGCAGAGTTGTCAGAGTTGAAGAGGCAGAGTCAGACTCCGAAGACTTTAGCCCGACTCCGAGCCTGGCCGAGGTCAGCTCGGATGATCTGTCATGGCTGGATGAAAAAGATCCTGGTAGGAATTTCTGCTTTCTGAATGAAATGTGCACCCAAGCACGGTTACTCAGTTCACCCGCAGATTAGGGCGTGCTGAGTCATCGATACCACATGTTGTCATTGCGTCATTTTCACAAGCCTTCTGTCTACCTACATGCACAGCGACGCGAGCGTGTTCGATAATTGTATCGCGCACTCCAACCAACGGAAAGACGGTTGCGCAGCGCACCAGATGGGCACAGTCTAATGACAGTTTCAGCAAGATGGGACATGTAGTTCACCCTCCCATCTATCCCCCAACACATCTGGCTCAGCTTTCACTCTGATTCATCCCAGCAGATCTGAGTCAGAACTATACTGTGCTTGCCTTTTTTCAGCATACAGTTAATTAAAAGAATAGACTGACATTTTGGAAAAATATGCTTATTTGTGTCTTGGCTGGAGGTAGATGAGAAGATTGATCCAGCTCCAATATCTGTTGCTGCTTGTTGCCTGGCGACCGTCAGGAAGTCAATGCATCCATACAAGAAATAGTCCTGCACATACACAAATCCACAGCTAGTCTTTTTTACATTATGGTTTTTGTGTGCCCTAAAGTTGTAATGTGTTATAGGAAAGTTTTGTTTGCGTTGGCCAGAACCAGGCCAACAGTTTCCCCCTGGTTGCAGTCTTTATGCTAAGCTAACCATCACCTAGCCTTGTGTTTTATTATTGAACTTCTCATTTAACCTCTGACAAGAACACAGAAATTTCAGACTGTTCTGCTAAATACGCATGGGTGACAAATTCAAAGAAAAATCCGAACCCTTAAACCCCACATGAGGGAATCTAGTTACTGTGTGAAGCTGTTGGTGGCATGGTTTGGTTCCACTTGTCCCTCCAGAAGGAACAGTCACTGCAAATCAGTTTAAAGTTGTTCTGAGTGATTGCCTTTCTCCTGTGATAAAGCATATTTGTCCTGATGAGAGTGCTCCTGTCTACAGTGCACAAAGGGCCAAGAAATGATTTGACACAAATGATGTGACTCCAATGCCATGGCCTTTACAGTCGCTACTTCTCCACCCAACTGAGCACCTATTGAAGATTTTGGACCGATGTTTCAGACCGCGCCACACCAAATGATGAATTATATATCTAGAAAAATGGCGATTTTTCACTCCAGTGGAGATCAAGAGACTTTTAGTGTTACTGCTGAGGCACACTGAAGCTGTTCTGGTGACCCAACACCTTTCTGAGACAGTTTGTGTTGATTTTTCCTTTAATTTGTCATCTGTCTTTATGTCACAAGTTTCACGATGAAGACAGAGGAAAGTTGTAAAATGTACAAAAGAGACAGGATTAAGGAAAAATCCAAAATCTGAAATACAATGAAAGTAAAGAATACAGTCTGCAGTATGTACAACTTTACTGTGAGCGGCTTTGTAGTCCGACCGTGTTCCTCCATCTGCACATAAACCACTAAAGCTCTCATTTCCTCTCCAACAGTCTCAGTGAAGCCGGTCATTTCTTGGGAAATTTGGTAGTCCGTGTGTGTCTGTCAGCGTGAGCTCATACACTGCTCACCCCTGAGACTTACAGTAACAGAACGTCGATGTTCCCGGAAGAGATTACGATCTCTGCTCTAAATGTTTCCCAGAGTGATTTGGGCCCATGAAACCGGGATAATTTGACGATTGTATCCACACATAGAGTTGCACACGCACTCGTACTGGCACACCGTTTTTATGGGAAAACATTTGAATGTCTTCCAACCTAATCCCTCGTGGTAGCACAGCAGAGAGGCACTCGAGTACAAAAATTAACTGCTCCTTCTCTGCTCTCTTAATGTCTGCCAGCTCTTCATCAGAAGCCACGAGTACGTCTGAGTGTTCAGTCCAGACGGAGCGACTTCGCTGGTCCAGGATCAGATCTGGAGGATGATGAAGATGAAGACGATGGTGCTGATCTTCTTGATGACGATGTGAATCCAGACTTAGGATCTGACATAAGTCTTAACGACCTCTGAACTTTTGTACTGTGAAGTTTTTGATGGAGGTGAGAACTTGAGATTCAACAAAGACATTTCTTCTTACCAGTCGACTGCACTACCAGTGACAAATAAATACTTTTAAACTGACTTGATTTTACCAGTACAGTTCAGACATACAGCTCTGTTTTGAACCCCAAATTTTTTTAAAAATAGCAACAGTCAAGATAACACAAACAGCCATATGGCTTATTTCCTTTTTGCTCCCACGAGAAGGGAAAAGAAAACAAAGGATGGCAAGCAGCAGACTTGGCATAGACACTGAGGCACATACATATAACAATAAGTAATTAAATCATCCTACTTAGTATTATTACTGTTGCTTAACAGACCTGCTTGGATAAGATAAGATGTGTTAGACATAGTTCATACATTTTTGGGAAAACTTTCTGTTATTGTGGGAAATTCTTAGATGCTATTTTTAAACCGTTATTTGCAAGAGAACCAGAAGAGTTGAACTCAGGACAAATCACACAGTATCAGACAAGTATTTTTTTTTTTTAATTGATACACACTCAAACCCTTGCAAACATATTTGGCTCAAACAAATCACCTAAATATTTAACAAACGCTAACTCATTCATGTCAGCTTCTTTAAAATGCTATTCTTCAAAGCGTTGTTATCCCGTCTGCCTATCTGCTACAGTTTAGGACTGTAAAGTCCCCACAGATTCTCTTTAAATAATATCCCGTAACTGTCTCCACATGTACGGACTGATAGGTTGCTGGGAACAAACTGTGGAGTCAGGCAGCTGTTTAAAGAAGTCTTTGTAAGAGCTTCTCATTCAAAAACAACTTGTTTCATGTTGGTGCCAGCTAAAAAAAAAAAAAAAAAGCGCTTTTGTAAAGTGCATTATTTCTAAGTGTAAGCCATCCAAAGAATATAATGTTTTAATTGTTGCCACACCCTCTGCTCTCATGTTGCTCTCTACTGACAATAAATTATGGGTCCTACTAGAGTTAAGGGCAGCGCTTGGTCCGCTGAACCACAAGGTTTGGCTTTAGGCGGGATGAGATTAAAAATAGTTATGTTTAGGTCTGTTATGATTGCAGATTGTTGGGGTTAGGTAAAGGTTTGATGTGGGCAGGACTTTAATCTTTGCCCAGAGCTACAGTGGGATCCATAAAGAGACACAACTCAACACTTTGTTTTGTGGAGCACGGCAGACTGAGAACCTATTGTGCAGTGGTCGTACAACTTTCTCTTTTACAAGCTTTGATCACTTTATGTACAGTATTTCATCAGGTGTAATTATCCACAGTAACTGAGCTTTTAAGTCCCTCTCTGGGCATTGATTTAACCCCGAAAAGCTCATCTCAGTGTGTCAAAGTTACATATTTGGAAAGTTGTTTTTTTTCCATGAAAATAATCCCTTCCTGCCTAAAAATGGCCTAGATGTAACTCTACACTGTTGCTTCTGCAGAGATCTATAAATTCTCCAGCTCTCTGTCCATTCAGCCTTCTCCACTTTCTGCAGCTCGAGCACTCCAGCTCACCTACAGCTCTGCTAAAACACTGTGAAAATGCTCTCTGTTACACAATGGTAAGTGAAAATATTGTAGTAATTGAATCATACATCCTTGAAATAGAAAGAATAAAGAAGACTAACAATACAGAATGATCCAGCCTGCACGTTGACAGGATTGATTCCTTTTGTTTGTTATGCTGATTTGTAAAACCGGTTGTCTGTGTTTTTGAGATTTTCGTCACTACCCTGCAGTTTTTAGGTGGAAATGCTCAGCCAGGGTGTTGATGTGTCTTCGAGCATTTGAAAAACTCTGTATAGAAATGTTAGCAAGGTTAAAAATTGGATTTTCACTGGAGCAGGTCTTTTTAAAGTTCGGGTGATCATGGCTGGCACTGTATCAAAAGTTACTGCTCATTCTTCAATGTGGCAGAGTAATGGATATTTAATAGGGTTTCCATCCTGCCATAATGCACTCTTCAGTCCAGAAGGAATCTGATGAGGGATGGGGTTTTGGTTCCTGGTAATGCAGCTGAAGTGACGGCAAAGAGGAATCAAAAGCCATTACCGTTATCAAGGCGCCAATGCTCCACCACCTCCACTGCGATCTTCATGTACACAGAGCTCAGTTAAGACAGTCGAGGGTCCCTTTATGCCGTCATGTCTGACATGAATCACACAGTGCCAGGCGAGGTGTCAAGCTGTTAAATATTTCAGCTTCCAGACACCCCCCATCAAGGATCCCAGACCACAGTGCAGAGCTGCAGGGAGCTGACAGGCGGGGTAGCTGTTCAGTGGGGTGCATATATGGAGGCTTAGGTGGTAAAATTGACCGCACACACTATTCAGCTCATGTAACAAGAGGGATTGTCTCACTGGTCTATGGTGAGCAATAAAAGACCTTCTAGAAAACAGTAAATGACACAGAGCAGAACATAACATTTTCACAAACCTCCTCTAACACCATCCTTGTGAAACCGTTAATGTTGTGGTTGGAGGGATGCTTAATGAAGAAAAGGCTCATCTATTTGTCATGTGGTCACATAATGGCTGATGAATCAGACCTTTTTACTGCCGTTTTATGGCATTTGCCAAGTATTGTGCAGTGGTGCTGCAGTAAAGCAGTGCATTGATTCATTCACTGAAGATCTGTAAAAGAATTGTTTTGTGTCTTGTCTCCAACAATAAAAGTCTGTGTTAGAAGAGAAGAGCTTGATTTTTCTGTTGTGGCCTCCAAGGATCAGTGTCGTGTTTCTGATTGTGCTTTTGTTGGCACTGAGGTCAAGAGTTGTTTACAACAGAGGTCTAAAATGGGAGGATGAGGAAATATGAAGGAGATGGTTCCAAAATACCTTTAATCATAAATCAACAGTCCATAATCCACATCTGGCAGCAAAGCCTCATTCATCATTATTTGAACACATAGAGAAATGGACAATACAGGACACATACACACTTTAACACTGAGTACAAAAATTATTTGTTATGGCCTTCACAGTCACCAGATCTTAACCCAAGTACACAAGTGTGGGAGATTTTGGACAGCTACCACCACAGGACACCAAATACGACTCTTGCAGGAGGGATATTTTGTCTTATACGTGCATAGAATCTGTGCCAGAGAGCTCTGAATCTGTTCTGATGGTGCATCACTTTACTCTTGGTGATTTTATGCCATTTTTCTTTTATCTGTAGCTGTTTGTGGCACAAATATTAAAACGCAAACACAGTTTTGGCGTAAATTTCAGGTGGGATGCATTTGATAAAGACATTTCCACTATAAACTGATGCAGAAAAAGGCACAAATCGATGCATACAAATTCACCAGAATGCAGGAAATCAAGCGTTTGATGTTTAAAATTTCCTAGGGGAGGACGCCCACACCTTGTGTTCAAACAAACTCTATACGCACTGCTCAGATGCATGAGCTTGATTCAAATCAGTTTCCACTTTGCATCTGTAGATAAGCTCTATACCAAATAAGGAGGAACTGCATTTGTTTTGCATCAATATGGGTGATTCTGTTGTCCTGTATGTGTCACACTTCCACTCATATTTTCCTTCACATTTGCATAGCAAGTATACAGCGAGGCCGATGAGCAGGATAATCAAAGGAACATTTGTGAGCGTGCTTACTGAAGATAAGGTGTCAGTCCATGGAACGTTTCGGCATGTTTGTGTCTGGTGAATGCTACAGCAGCAGCTAGGATGAGGAGTTTCATAAAGTCTTTTTCTCCTTTTGCATGATGCAATCATCAGTAGTATTTACAACGCACAGGACAATGCTAACATTGTGTGAAAAGGCCATTGACCGACTTCGGTTTGCAGCTGTCATTGTGTGAGGGAGTGCCTCGTGGTGAACACGCTGGAGGCCAAACTTCAAACACAGGCAAGTCAGAGCAACTACCGGCCCTAAAAGTGCGTTTAAATGGGAATCGCACAAAATACTGGGAATGACTGGTAAATTTAGAAGTTAGTTTGTGTGGAATTGAAATGGAGTATACAATAAGAGCTGTTCCTATACTGTGTAAGGCACTCTCTCCTGGACTTAAGACTGCAGGAAAGAAAGAAAAAAAAACCACAGCACATATCAAAATCAGGCCTAAAGGCAGCGTTACCTAAAACATAGAAAAAAAAAAAACACATTAAATATTCTCTGCCATGCCACCAAAACATCATACATACCCCTTTAACAGACTCTCACACATGCAGACACACCTACAAATGCACACACTGCTATGTTGCTTATGTACACACACAAAAACCTAATTTGTCTCATACACAAAATTATTCTGCCTTTTTTTTTTCAATTTTTCTCCACTCCTGAAAAAGTAAAGTGCAACCATGTTAACACTATAATCAGGCTATTTGTTTTGTTCATTTCTATTCTCTTGCCTCTCAGTCGCCCTAAATTTCTGCCAGACTTGACCTGATAAAGGGAGATGAGACCAGTGTCACCAGGTGAGTCTGGCAGGACGGGATCAAACTGTATCTTGGTGTGAACCATCACAAAGATAGTTGTGATGGATGATGCTGCCGCCTGCTTTACACCTCCACTTTTCAACTATTGGGAAATCAAAATTTATTATACAACCCCAACAACCCTAAAAGATGGGCCGAACACTATAAAGTGTACAGAGCAGTACTGAGCAGAGGCCTAATTTGCAATTACAGACACCGAAAATAGACTTTTTCCAAAGGGACCCATCATGGGTGTTGTCTTCATTGTCCACTGCAGTTTCAGTCTTGTCCTTTACAATAATCTGGATAAATGAAAGCAATCCAGAAATGTGCTCACACCTACCCAGAGTTCTTTCTGTTTGGTGCAGATTAAGGAAGAAAGACCAGGTCCGACAACCACAGCGGCCTGAGGCTTGATTGGAGGAGGGTATCTGGGTGCCAAAAGTTCTATTGTGCCTCCATCAGTAGTTGTACATGGACAAGGGCGTGTCTTCCATCATGTCGTCCTGCACAGGACAAACAGAACACCATAATAACTAAAAACACCTTTATTCACACTGTCATTGGTGTTTCATCTTCAGACAAGACAATACCGCTTTGTAATATTTGTTCTTTAAGCTTTCTTGTCAAAAGTTGTATGATCAAATTAATACCACTCTTAAATCACTGGCAAATATTAAGCTTCAGTCAGCAGATGGTCAACTTAGACCTTACACCAAGGAAAACACTGAACCTGTCTCTCTGCAAGTCCACTTACCAGCACCCCAAAGGCTCGCCAAATAACATGCTGCATCAAGACTGTTTTATCCATACAACAAATCAGCAAATGAAAGTGTAATATTTCTTTGCTGGGAACGTATCTGTGGTCGGCTAAGCAAACTAATGACATGGTATGGTATGGTATCAATCTTGTCATCTGAGTCTCTGCAAGAAAGCAATTAAGTATATATACCAAACTGATGGGGAAACAAAAGATATTTATAGTTATAAATGATTGTGATTGGTATATATCGCTGACATCTAGCTAATAAATGAAGGAATCTTTGTCTATCTGTGTGTTTGTCTGTTCTTCGCATATCTCAACAACTGCTCATCTGATCTCTTTCAAACTTGGTGGGAGGTTTGCTGGGGACCCAACCAAGCACAGTGTCAAGTTTGAAGTCATTTTGTCATTAACGTTCCATTTTCTGACAAAACAGCACCACTTTGTACTAAGCCGGCGTTTTCAAGGATCTTCACGTCTTGTTCCAGTAGCACCAGAACAGGGCCTAGAACCAGATCTGTAGAAGCTGGAATCTACCACAGCAGACAGGATAAATCAGTCCTGCGCGATGTAGCGGAATGTAGGACACAAGCTACAGTGAAAGGCATAACCAAGTGGCTGGAAGACTGTATAGAATCATCTGTGCTGAGTTTACGTGAGAAGTCCCAAGTCGAAATGACGTGCCCCACTGAAAGCAGCAGAACTGAGATCCTTTGGGACTCCAAGTTCCACACTGACAAGTAGCTGCTGGCCATCCAACCAGACATAGTGGTGGTCAACAAGGAGCAGAAGAGGGCTGTTGGGATAGATGTGGCTGCTGATGATACCATCAGGAAGGAGTATGAGAAGACTGTAAAGCACAAAAAGCTGAAGGAACACCTTGAATGGATGTGGAAGGTGAAAGCAAAGGTGGTCCCAGTGGTAATGGGGCATTAGGGAGTGCAAACCCCTAAACTAGGAGAGGGGCTCCAGCAGATTCCAAGTACAACATCTGAGGTGTCTCTCCAGGAGATTGCAGTGCTAAGATCCTACAACTCTCAACTTAAAGAAGATGTTTGGACAGTAGAAGCATTGGTTCTAAAAGTGTATCTCACAGCTGTGCTTAACAGTATCAGAGAGACGATATATTTTTATGACTCAAAGTGTTCCTTGGATGCTCACCATTGGTAGATCCTGCAGCCTGCGGAACTCTGGTCTGTTGTCTCTTCGGCGCAGTTTGAGGAAGAGGAGCAGAGTGATGATGACAGCAGTGATGATGAAGGCCGACACCAGGCCGGCCAGGAGGGGGTCTAATGCGGGAGAGTCCGTTTTTGCTGGAACGGTAAACACAGCAGACACGTCAGCACGGCCCTTTCTCCTCTTGGGTTGGTTCAGGATGGATTTCACTTTGACTTAACATGGTGCAAAAAGCAAGAACCACAGCTTCCTAAGTGGTTGTTTAAAGTTGTGGATGGAGCTAAATATAGCAGCTACAGCAGCATGTTGAGTGTTCATCATGCAGCTCAGGACAGAAATGTCAAACAGGATGGTGATGTTACACTTGCCTGAGCGCTACTTAAGGTCACCGCTGAACAATTTATTTATGCGGCATCATTCTAAAAATGTCTTAGAACTGAATTTAAGCAGTTCAAACAGTCTATTCATACAGCGCAGCACTGTTTAATCTCCAAAAACATCTTGACCTTTCTGTTTTACTGTTTTTACTCTTTGTGTATTTCAGTGCAGCAGGAATTTGCATCTGTGTACTCGGCTGTGTATTTCTGGACATAGATGTTGCTAAGGAAGACTGTTTTTGTAAACTTAGCTGTTTTTTTTTATACCCTCTGGTAGCAAAGTAACAACAACCACAGAGCAGTGAAAGCTCCCTGTTCCTCTGGCTAATGGAAAGAGGCCACGTGCCAAGCGCTTAATAAAACCACACAAGACTGAGACAGGCAGAGAGAATTTTTATATTTTAACAGTAGTCAAGCGAGCTGGTCAAGAAAGACAGAAGGACAGGGAGACAGACAAAAGAAAGAAAAACAGAAATCTCGAGGCCGAAATCCCATGACTGCCTCTGTCCCTTTTTCTCAAACAAACCCATGATTGTGGAGTGCTTGGTGGTGACAGTGCTTGCAGAAGATGTAAACGGGGAGGTTTTGTGTGTGTGTGTGTGTGTGTGTGTGTGTGTCTGTTTGTGTAGAAGCAAGGACTGGCTTGTGCTGCAAAACAAAGAACAGCGTCGCCTTTGTTGTGACGCCAATTCACTTCTGGCTCTGTCAATATCCAGGCAGTGAATAGTCCAGAACAAATTCATACAGCGGCACAGAAGGTATTGCGCACTTACCATCGCCCCCCACGTTCAGCTGGGACGGGGTGTCGACATGGGTTTTGGTCTGGGCGGAAGTGCTGCTTGGCGGGAGGCTGGTTGCCTTCGGGATGGCCTCGCTGGGGGATTGTGACTTGTTTGTCGACGGCTGAGAAGTGGTGACCGCATGGGGGGAGCCGGTGTTGGATGTTGAAGTGGACTGGGTGGTAGTGGTGGCAATAGTGGTAGTAGTGGGGGTAGTTTCAGGCTTCGGTGGCTCAGGCGTTTGGGTAGAAGTGAAGGAGGCTGCTGTAGTTGGTGTTGGCTGATGTGATTGCGTAGTGGAGTCAGAAAGTGGAGGCTCAGAATGCTGCGACGTGTTGTTGTGGTTTGGTGAAGGTGTTGCGGCAACGTCTGCAGTGTTAGCTACGTGTGTGGTGCTGGGATTAGCAGGGGAAGGGGGGGTGTGAGTGGTGGGGATGGGGCTCTCAGGAGGACGAGCTGAAGGCTGTGACAGTGGCTGATTTGTTTGGTTTCCACTCTTTGCTACATCCACTGAGAGAGAAATGTTTTTAGTAGCTGCAGAAAGAGGGAAAGAGAAAGTCGTAATTAAAACATTGCAGTGTGACATGTGCATAATATGAAGCGCATGACAGAAGCATGGTCCAGTTCACCCAAATATAAATAATCTTATTTCCTTACACTGTAAGAGCCATTGTGGAAGAAATATTTTTAGAAAACTAATTCATGCATTCATTTTAACTGTGAGTTCTGACAAGAAAACTGACCTTGTGTTCTATGGATGATCAGAGACACTTCTACTGGAAACTGGGCCAATTAACTGATTTTCCTTTGCGTTGTCAAACAATGCACTCAGCAGATCACAAAGACAGCAATTTAAGATATACAAGTCTTGTCCGTGGTATTAATAGAACTTTTCAACAACAGCTATTGAACCAAAGTGCTTTCCATTAGGAAAATAAGGTATGTGTTGTGAATTAGGAAGTTTAAATATGAATGTAAAGGCCCTACATTTTTGTTTATTATGTGAATTACTGACATAATTTAATATTACACTTAAAAACCCTCCAAATATATATATGTATATGTATGTATATATGTATGTAATTGGCATGTCTAAATTTAATGATTATATGTAATATAATGCAATCTGACAAATTTAAATGTTATGGTTAGGAACTTACCAGTATACTAACAGCATATTCTCTAACAAATTACCTGACTAATTTCAAAATTAAAGTTAAGATGCTACAAAAATACAACATGAAAAAGGTGTGGCAATGAAAATACTGAGTCTCGTGTTATGATCTGGTGTTATTTAATGTAAGCAGACTGATCCCTTCAGGGATTGTTTGTGGCCATTGATTGACAATACAAACTACGTGGTTCATTCATACGTGCTGTGTTTCAACTGAAATAACCTCAGTCTGGTTATTTAACAGCCATGTTTCATACATTTTACAGCTCATCTGACCCAGAGTTTAAAATGTCGTGTCAGTGGTTTTGCAAATTCAGGCCATCCTCCTTGTGTGACAGTCATGTTTTTCATGCTGTCTCTATATATTGTTTTAAAAACTGTTATGCAGTGAATATTGCACTGAAACTTGACCGAAAAAAAAAAATTGTGTTGCAAATTATAATCCATACATCTGTTGGAAAAATAATGGTTAGATATTTTGCCTCCCTGAATTGGTCAGCTTTCCTAGAAAAATATGTTTGTTTTTTCTTAATTTTTTAAGCACGCTAGCGCTGCTTTGATTAAGACTGAAACAACTGAGCAACTTTTAGATGGACTGTGATGAAAGCTTATGAAAACATTCATGTCTAAGTACTGAAACGAAGGCAACTGGGCTAGAAAGGCTTAAGTTTTAGAACCTACAGCCGATACACAATGACCTGGATGAGTGAGCGTCTTCACAGACATACTTCAGACATTCATGGTTTCCAGAGGATATATTCTAATATATAATATGACTTCTTGATGCTTATATTTTTGGATTTGAGTGAAATATCTACAGGATGAAATTTTGTAGAGACATTCATGTTCCCCTCAGGATGAAGTCTAGCCCCTCTGATGATTGGTTAACTGTTCATGTAGCGCCATCATTGCTTTAAAATGAGATTTTGTCCAATAATTTATGACCAAATACCTGCTAATCTAATGCAGTTCCAATCAGCCTCCATTAAACTTTGTGCTTTGTGCAAATTACCAAAATGCTAACTCTTGAAACAAAGCTGCTGAACATATGACAACTATTATACCTTCTAAACATCTGATTATTAGCGCTGCCATTATGAGCATGCTCATGTGACGACTCGTCTCGCTGCTAAGCTCACTGTTGACTCTCATTGTGGACTAAATGTCCATTTTACAATCCTACGAGCACCACGAATGAAAGTCCATTTACTTCCACTGAAGACTAAAGATCACACACGTCTGAAACTGGACAAATATAACCGCAGCTATCTGCTTGTCTAAATGCTACAGAGACACTGACTCTTGTAAATGCAAACAGTTGTGTTTTTCCACGAAGATAAATGATCTAAAAAAGGTGCCCGGGCTGCGAATGCGAAAGACTGAGTTTGTGTGTCTCGGGGGGAGTTTTTCACTTCTACCTTTCTCACCTCCTTGTGAAAAGTCACACAGCATTTAATCACTTCTCTCTTCTCCTCAGCGACATCTGAATCGAACTTTTCTCCAAGCATACTTTTTCACTGCTCTCTCAACACATTGCACCTTATTTAATTTAGTCATTGCTTCGTTTTTTTTCTTATTTTTATAACATCACCATCTCTCATACATATCCAGAGTTTTTTCCTTCTTAGTGCTCTATTTTCTTAAAGTCTAGACTGAGTTCTGTGTCCCTGCTTTTGTTTCCTTTGCGACATGGCTGTCAACTCTTTAACCCTGTCACAAGCTCCACGGTCCACTTCTGGACATGGAAAACAGTGATAAGGACTTTGTTAAATATAGCTCCTAAACTCTAAGCCACCTGCTGCTGGGCTTCCTAATAAATTCCTCTGAAGTGTGACAAAACTTCCGCGCTGGCAAACCTCAAACGGGGCGAAACAATAACCACAACATCCCATCAACTTTCCTGGTGTGTTTGCACATCACAAAGACAGCTAAACATTCAGTCCACCTTTATTATTAATATTAGCATTCCTCAGTGAACACAGGAGATGGAACGTGGAGTCATATAGTTACCATTGTGTTTGCTTGTTTCAGATGTCAAAGAGATGGTGTCTGTGTTGTTGTTCAGTTTGCTAGTGCCACTGGAGTTTGTGTTTGTCTCGGAGCTGTTCAGTGCACGACTGGTTAGGTCGGAGCTCGAACCGGGCACAGAGTCTGCACCTGGAACCGCAGGAGGTGCCTCAATGCCGAGAGGACTTTTCAAAGTCGGAGAGGCAGCAGCAGGGTCGCCATCTGATGAGGTAAGAACACTCGTTAACAACTCATTTGCTCATTATTCCGAGCAAACATGGTCCAACCGGCGCTGTGCACACTCCAAAACCATCTGAATGACTCACAGTCAGCACAGGCCGGGGTGTTTATTCAAACAATAATTATTAAAACTGAAAGATGTGTGCGCAAACAGGCCTGTGCAAACACTTAGGCACTAAAAGCAAAACAAGGATGCCTTCAAAAATAATACCAGAAATGCTGTTTTGCATTAATTAATGCCATTATTATTCATTAACCTTTAGTCAAAACAGCAGCAGTTTCCCCTCAGTACACTTGAACACAGATTTTGATTCTTGGCAGGAGGGTTGTTCAGCATCTTGGAGGACTTGCCACAGTTCTTCTGTTGACTGTAATCCCAGACTGAGTTAAGATTAGAGCTCTGAGGGGGCCACACCATCTGCTGCAATAACTCCTTGTTCCTCTTGTTGCTGCAAATAGTTCTACACTAAACAGCCACAACATTAAAATCAGCTGACTAATATTGTGTAGGTCCCTGTAGAGCTGTGAAAACAGCTCAGATCCACTGGGGCACTGACACAGGACATCTGGAAGTGTTCTGTGGTTTCGGGATCCTGGCACTGAATCCTTTGGGTCCTGAAACCTCTGATTGGGTTTAGAGGGCTGGTTAACCCGTTGAGCTCTTGGTCATGTTCCTCAAGTTGTTCTTGAGTAATATTCGAGGTTTGATGTGGTACATTGTCCTGCTGGGAGTGAGCCTTGTTGTGGGGTGCTGTGCTCAGCAATACTGAGGTAGATGGAACATGTTAAAATAACACCCAAAGTTTCCCAACAGAACAGTGAATTGCATCAAGATGATCTATGTTATTTACTTCACCATCAGGGGTCGTTAGTTGTGGCTGATTGGTGTGTAAAGCCTCTTTCAGACATGCACATCTCTCCGTTAATCTGACGACATCTGAATGCGTTGACTTCACTTTCAACACAACTAAAGTCTGAACTGCTTTCAGTTGCATTAACATACACCAACAAGATTACACCCTAGTGGGACCGTAACTGTCTTCGTGACGAGGACCATTAACATTAAAGTGACTTATGTTTCAATGAGAGAATGATGTCACTTTAACAGAATAACAAAGCCAACAATGTTGTGTATCCTATTTCTGAGACAGCTGATTTTGACTCTGGCTGTGTGTTTGAGGTCGGACCAATCAAATGCCTTCCTGATAGTGTTGCTTAATGGATAAATATCTAAACTTTCTAAAGAGACTAAAAGTTTTGCACAGCACAGGGATATATTATTTATCTGGAAGGAACTATCTGTCCATAAAGTCTTTCCAGCGAAGCATCGCAGCACTTTAACAGAGCTGCCTGCCCAGTATCGATCAGTGAGCAGCTTCACCGGAACAAACAAGGTTTCAGTGTCTTGCTAAAGTGTTAGGAAAGAAGATAGCATGCTATATAATTACTCTGCAATTTCCAGTTTTTTTGTTTGTTTGTTTGTTTTTGCATCAGATGGTAAATATCTAACTGTTTGACACTTTAATGTGTGGCAAAGTCAGGCTACTCATGACCCTTTGAGTTGTGGTTCATTCAACCAAAGTGTTATGTTATGTGTTCTACACTGTTAAAATATATATATATATATATATATTTGTTTAAAAAAAATACAAAACTGTGAAAATCTGGCAGCAAGGATTGTAATAATAATAATAATAATAATAATAATAATAATAATAATAATAATAATAATAATAATAAAATAACAAAACAGCAAATATCTGTAAAATACCAAAAAATGTTGAACTGATTTGAATACAGTAGAACATTAGAATTTTGAGATCAAACACTGGAAACAGTAAAATATTTTGTGTGGCTGTAGCATGTACATGTATACTTGTTTTCTGTTTTACTGTGTGTTATGTGAAAATCAACAAAAAAGGCAAAACATGTAAAATAACAGTAAAATGATAAACTATTTGTCAGTCAGTAATATACATTATTTTTCTTTTAAAAAACAGCAAATACATGTAAAATAACATTTTTTTTGTTTTTTTGATAAGTTAAAAATAGTGTAATTTTACAGTCAAACTTAAAAAAAATACAGATGTTTGATGTGGACATTATTTACAGTTTTAACCTGTTTTCTTCTGGTTAACATGTAAATTAATGCTTTTTTTATTTATTGTGATTTTAATAATTTAATAAAATGAGGAAAAATTGCAAAATGACAGTAAATTGTTTTAAAAATGACAATGAAAAACAATAAAATGCATCCATGTTGTCCAGTGTCGGATGTTGTTAGTGGCCTGAAATGTCAATTGTCAGCTCAACAAATGAATAAAAACACAGCAGAATTGTTCTCTTGTTTCTTATGTTCTATTTAGTTAATCTTGACATGCCCACTCAAAATGATCTAATTTATTTTATTTATGCATCCTCTGGGAGAGCTGGGAACCACTGGACAGATTACACAGCCACATTGATGCAAAGCACAAGATAAAACGGGTAAGAGCGCTTCCTTCACGCGACCGGAGCCCACATGAGACGTAAGTAATTTTTAGTCTTTGAAGTAATATCATTTTAATGAAGACCTTCAATCTCTCTCGCTCCTTCTCTCCTCCCTCCTCTGTCTTGATGTCCTTCGCGCTACTGTACAAGTCTTCATTTCTGTCTCTACCTTCTTCCCTTTGATGAAAACCAGAGCACTAATGTAATGTAAAGTCATTACCGTTCAGTAACACACTGCCCTGATGCCTTTCATTACCTCCATAATCACTCACACAGCTCATCAGCGCACAGTGTGAGGGCGAGAGACACAGAGAAAGAGGGAGAGAGACCTGTTTGAACTCCAAATGATACCAAAACAGACTCACTCATAAATAGACAGAGGTGCTTGGCTGTATAATACCGGCCTTGTTCCCTCGCTTTAGCTCCATTAGAGCTGCTTGGGTCAAATGCTGCAGTAGTCGGCTACGTCTGTTTTGGTATACATGTGTGTTTCTGTGTGTGTGTGTGCAGAGCAGATTCATAAAGAGAGTCACTGTTTCCACTATTGCACACTCCAGATATTACAGGGTTCTACTCACAATCTTTCAGGCCAACGCAGCACGTACCTGGGGAAATAGCTTTTGCTCACTTCTTGACCCTGCCAGCCTGAAGGAACAGCCAACCGTTTCTCTGCGAGCAGATGTCTGCTGCTTCAGCACTCAAAGCTGGAAGAGCCCAGCAGTGATACAGAGCCGGCTGACTGCTCCAGTAGAATCACAGCATGATATATGAGTCAATACAACAGACTGTTTTTAAAGGTGATTTCCCTGTTAGGCGGAAGTGAAAAGGCCCGTAAACTGTGAATGTTGTTGACGAGTTTCATGTCTGTGCTCTCACTTATCGTCTTTTTCCAAAAATCTCTGATGTGGTGTTCACTTGGTGGTTAGTTAGTCATATTATTTATAATGATGTTATTGTTGCAGGGGTTAAACGGTGCCGGGAAAAAGCATGACTTATTACATGTGATATTACACTGCAAACAAAAACCTTTGTCTTCTGTCCCACACAAAAAGTCCCCTCCCTAAAACCAGTTTTCTTTTTTTCTTCTTCCAAAGACTTTGTCACAAAATTAGCCCATTTTACACAAACATATATAACAGATGAAATGGACTGCATTCACTGCCATAATGAACAACAAATGTTTTTCTCGACAGGGAAACAATCAAATGTTCCTCTTTCTACACCAGAACTGTTCCTGAATGTAACGAAGGCACATGGAAAACTTTGATTTTTAGTTTATTTTTGCTTCACATGATGCTTTACGAACATATGGTGCTATAAGTAAATGAGTTCAGTTTTAATTCAGTCTTTTAAAGTTAACTCATTTACTTCTGAATGGGTATTTCTTTTTCAATTTTCTTTTTTAGAAAACTTGTGTTTCTGCAAGAGCAAATAAAAAAAACTGTGACTCATTAGTTACACAGGAGGCCGTGAAGGCTTTTAGCCACGTACGCTGTTCTCTACTAAGAAAGTTTGAGGAGATTTTTATTAAACTGCATTTTCTCCCCTTCCTTCCTACAGTCAACACACTGTACGACGTCTGGCCGCCATAAAAACTCAACCTGCTGCCACTGCACTGCTTTAAATCTCTTCATAAAGTCTACATACTGTACTGCAGAGAGAAGCCAATTAGCAGGAGCCCAGTAAAATGACGGTGTGCTGCTGCACATAATTAGAGGTGTCATTTATCACAATGTACTTCCCTGCTCATTTACAGCCAATAAATATTCTCCAGTGGAGCAGTGCTGTTTTCTATTCATTCGAAATTTCAGCCGAAGGAGCTGATGGGACAGTTCAGCCCAATAAACTCTTTTCAAATGTCAATAGTCTCATTTTCCTTTTATGTGAAAGGTGCTGATGGAGGAAGGAAGAAAGAAAGAGAAGGTAGGAGGCAGAGGAGGAGGAGGAGGAGGAGAGGAGGTGTCTGGACCAGGTAGAGGAGAAAGCAGAAGGTGGTTTAGGAGTGAAATACAGGATGTGTGAGAGGTGTGCAAATGTAGTGCAAGCAGAAAGCGGAAGAAGGCAGGAGGCAGGAAATTATGTAAAAGATAAAGTGTGGGGTTGTTTAAACAAAAAGGACAGGCTTTCATGTGGAACGTAAAATGAATAACGCTGCTCAGAATGAAAGTGACGTGAGGAGGTGAGTTTATCCACCTCTGATCTCAAGTATGGTTCAAAGGAAACACACAAGAGGAACTCAAGTGCTCTTCTGTCGATACATGGGGGGGAAAAAACACATTCACTTCTTACTTTAAAGTCAGTTTTGTCAGTTTCCAGCTGGACACAGGGAGAGAAGCTGCTCTCAGGCACCACATGTGTCCACATGTGTCCACAGGTGAGACTTATTGTGGCACAGCAAACACTATGCTTGAATATCCAACACAAATAATGATATATGACTGTAATCAAAGTGGCAAAAAGTTCAAAATCAACCACTGCAAATAGACAAAAATAAACCTACCATGATCAGCAGATCCAAAGTTAATGAGCAGGAGCGCACAAAGGGCAGTCCAGAGTTTGGTCTCCATCCTCTCTGTCCTAGTAAGAAAATGACTGAACAAATGTCGTCTCTTCTTGCCTTGTTCTCGCAGGAGTTTCCTCTTTCTCTCTGTCTCTCTCTCTCTTTTTTCTCAGTTCAATTTCAGACTTTAACGGAGCAGTTTTCAGAACAATCCCAGGCCGCTGCTCAGTGTTTTAGCCGCTGGAGAGAGACGGACAGCAGCTCCGTCAGTGTTTGCGTGGCTGCAGGACTGAAGGAGGAGTGAGTGCGTCCTGACTGCTGCTTTCTCTCTCTCTCTCTCTCTCTCTCTCTCTCTCTCCAGAAACAGTGCCACGTGTTCTCTGTTCAAAATAGTCGGTTGATCTGAGTCGGTGCCATGACGCGTATTCAGTGGGAAGGCTGACACCTACCCACGCAGCGCAGAAGGGCACAGGCCACATAACGCGTTACAGTGCGCTAACACTGACCGTGCAGACGCAGAAATCACTTCAGCTTCTATAAAAGTCACATAAATAAGACAAATTATATTCATAAGTGACATTTTACGCACCGCAAAGATCATGCCATAGGATTTGGCGACGTGTTCCGGTTATTTTTTCCATCTTTTTCTTTTTCTTTTTTTTACGCAGAGCCAAACATTCGTCTACTTTATGCATCTATTAAAAATTAATGTTGTAATATAACAAAAAAGTATAGAAGAAGTTTATTACACTCGTATTTATCTGTAATATATTGCTTCTATATAAGTTCACGCGATGATTTCTTAAATTATTAAATGATTATTTGAGAATTACGCTTTTTTATTGTTATTATGTATTAATCAGTAATAAATAAGAGTAAATCCTGGATAACGTGGAGTCTGAAGATTTTATTTGTCAGCATACAATTATAATATAATAATCATTTAATGTGTTTGACTCTTCTTGAAAGTGGAAAAATAAAAACGTTCTCCTTTCTTTTTTTTTCTAAATACATGACTGGCGCTTTTCTCAGGGCGTTTGGTCTGTGTTGTGATGTCTTCATTAGTCCACATGGAGGCGCTGTTGCTCCACAGCTGATTTCCCCCCAAAAAGCTAAACATCAGGCATTTAAACAACCCAAAGTAAACTGGTGGTTGCTACATAAAATAAAGATGTTACAAAGAAACGTCTCATATAATTTTAAAATGCCTTTCAGTTTATATTAACATCATCTATTGATAGTTTTGTGATGATAATTTCTTCTAAAAGGAGCTCCAACTCTCTGGTGCCATATCAGATTTATTTTTTTTACATTTGTCTGTTTCAGTTTCACATTAACATTTTCCAAGTTACCTGGTGGTTGTTATATGAAGTAAATATGTTAAAATATACGTTCTGTGAGGCTTGTGTTGAGGCGAAAAGAAGAATATTAAACAACAGAGGTATGAGATGTCACAGTTCTTCTGCTTATTCATTAATGTAGGTGTTAAATTATATTCATAGAGCAGAATTCCACAATGCTATTGTCATCCTGATTCATTTTTAATTGCACATTTATTTACACAAACCAGATCATGTGTTTCCTCCCTGTGCAGTTTTGATTCCAAGTAAATGAAACTGAAAGGACTCCTCATTACTGGCCTGCTGTTTTAATGCTTACTGGTAGAAACTGTCATCATGTAGTGATAGTTTTATAATAATTACTTCCAGAAGGAGTTAATACGCTTTCCTTTTCTTATATTTTGCATTCATGGGAAAAGGCGAGACTACCTATATAACTGCATTCTCATTATTTTTGCTCTATAGTTGGATAATATAATTGCATATTTCTTTTTTTGAAGGGTAGTATGTAGTCATGTTACATGGTTCATCCCTTCCATATAGTCATGATTATTAGAAAACATGTTGTTTTAGATTAAGCCTTCCACATATGTTAACACACAAGAGGGGCTTAATATGTTCAGGAATTTGGAGGGTAGGTGACAAACAGACTATTTTTTTCTGCTACAATTCGGAGGAGGTTTATATTGCAACTAACAATTATTTTCACTGACAATTAATCTGTCGATTATTCTCTGATTAGCTGTTTGACTTAATAACTGCTCAGAAATTGGGGAAATTGTGGACCAGTGTTTCCCAAAGCCCAAGATGATGTTTTGTCCACAACACAAAGATATCAAGTTTTTTGTCATAGAGAAGTAAAGAAACCGGAATATATTTAAAATTCAAAATGTTTTTCTTAAAAAAAATACTCTAAACTATTCGTTGCGGCTCAAGTTTAATTTAACATACCAGACATAATAAATATGCTCCAGTTCATCACACCTGACTCCATCTGTATCTGAAAAATGGGAAGATTTCGCTTCATTGAATAGGAGGAAAATGCCGCATTCACATGTAAATACTTAAATACGACACTTGATAAACAATCCAAAAAACAAACCAACCGCTGCCACCTGTTTACTCTTAACAATAACAGACCTTTTACCACAGCTAAAATAACTAACAAATGATTTATAACAGCTACACATACATGATTTTATACTAATTTTTACCATTTTTGTTTCACCACCTCCTTCAATATTTTCAGAACTTTAAAAATCGCTGTCTCATTTACGATGTTACTGGGTGGTGCTTGACCGGTTACGCTGCGATTCTTTTTTTTCCCACAGCGCCTGAATGTAGCAAAGAGCTGCTGGTGACGGAGAGGAGGCAGAAAAGCGGCAGGGAGCTGCCAGCATCGTCTCATACCGTCGCAGGACAGAAAGGTGTGAAAATATCGGACCTCTGGACAGCCTAGAGATAATACACGGAGGCGGCATTGTTTTGATAATTCTGTCACACTCCGAATATACTAGTGTAGCCGTCTCGCTCGTTTTTATTTGGCAGTAGGGTTGCGTCAACTTACATTGCTACGTTAGCTAGTTTGGCGTTAGCATAGTGGCGCTAGCTGTTGCTATACTATTATGCTATAGTGGAGGTTAGCGACCGCTAGCCTGCTCTTAAGTTAGGCGAGCTAACGTTAGCTTGCCGGTTAGCCTCTCATGTCATCCATAAATTACTAAATTAGTGAAACCGCGTAGCTAACTTAAACGTCCCTATTGCTGCGGTGGAAATAATAACGGAGATGACACTGTTTTTTAAAGGCAAGTTTCACCGTGGCTGCTTCTCAATGTGTTGCTCCTCTTTGATCGTTTGACAGCTCCGTGTCCGCGGAGATATGGAGACGCCGGGGAGAATAGCAGCCACACCGGACGCCCTGGACTTCACAGTGGAAAACGTAGAGAAGGTGAGTTTTTGGGTCAGCCTGTCCCCGTCTGCTCATTCAGCACCAGAGGGGGTTTATAGACCAAAATAATAATCACAGTAATAATAATAAATACCCTCAACTGATGGCTTGAGAGGGAAAGCAAAAGGGCTGCATTTGCCTCATAGCCATATAATATAATGTTACTTAACACTTTTTACAGCACTGATTTGATCTGGAGAGGTGATGTTGCTGTGCTGAGGACTTTAGCCTTGACTGAATGTTTATGATGCTCAATCAGATGAGAGCGAAATGACAGGTTGCAGCGAATTCTTTACAATCTCTTGTCACTTTCTCCAACGTGCTTATCAGGGTATTGTTTTTCCTCTCTGAGGTTGGATATATTTTGACTGTGTTGTTTTGCGAGTGCATGCTTGTTGACTGCCAGGTTGCTGTGATGCATCTCCCTGCTGGGTGGCCGCTGACTCCAGCAGGAAGGGGATGGGTGGGGGAGACAATGGAGAGGATGGAGAGGGAGTGAGAAAAGGTGGTGCTCCCGTGGAAGAGCCGAGTCGATGTGATGAGATGGAGAGAGGGTGGGGGGAGGTGAAGGGGGGGAGGGAGGGGTCGATGTCTGTGACAGCGCCAGAGAGAAAGAAAGAAAGAGGAGGGGGTGAGAGGAGGTTGGCGATGCGACAGAAATGATTAGAGGCAGGTTTCAGGGAGAGAAGCACATTCCTGTAGGGGGAAATGGTTTGGCTGGATACTGTGATTTTATGCTGTAATAAAAGAGGAAGAAGAATGACATACAGTATGCATGGTCCTGTCTGCCTTGGGATAATCTCTGTTTTCATTCGTACATGTTCCATTTCCACAAGTGGAGAGAGTGCTGTATGTGACGTATTGTTTTTATTTAGTACTGGTTTAAAAAAAAAAAAAAAACTAAAACAGAACACTTCTCTTTCATTTTAAGTTGAAGAACAACACTATTGCATACCGTATGGCTATCCAAAATGTAAAATTAATCTAACTGGTAGCATCATAAATAGTTTACAATGTGTGAAGGTACATTTTAGTGAAAGTAACAGACACCCAAGCTCGCAGAATTGGAATTTTTCATTACATCTGACTGGTTTTCAGTATTTAAATATCTCTGCTACAATGGAAGCGATGCCAAAATACCCAAGGTGAGCAAACACAGTGCAGGATGTTCATCAAAAAATAACCTCAACCACATGTGATTCACAACCTGAAACAGAATAAAACGGTTAAATGTCAGCGTAGTGATTATGTCATGAATAATATATTTAAAAAATGGAGAACCATCCATGACATTGTACTCCTAATGTTTTGCCATGCGTGGGCGGTTTGTAGAGTTTAAGATGCTTTTTCAGACCCTATGACAGCTTGCATCAGCATTCAGTCTGCTCCAAGTGGTATAGCGCTATCAGTAATCTCATTAACTGATACAACATGGCAAACAACATCTGAAGTATCATTTCCCATGAAGGCTATGTGCGCTTTTGTATTCACAGCACACTTGCATTTCCAACCTCATAACATATTGTTCTTCTACGACTCGGCTATATTTAGAAAGTATATTTACTTTCTACTAGAATGAGTTTTTTTTTTTTTTCCCCTTTTCATGTTCTCATTCTTTGTAGAGAACTTGACTTCGATGACACTTTGTCAGTGAGATGCTGAGAGGAAGACAAAAGGTTTCTTTAGAAAATGTGTGTTCATCTAAAGTATCATATCATTTGCATCAGAGTCACAACTTAATGCTGTTTTCACTGGTACTTGTATTATTCTTAGCCAGTCACATCAACAGTAATTGTAAATATACGTGCAGGACTTTTCCTGCATAGAGGAATTTTTGGCAGGTTTTAGCTGGCACAGAGGGAAAATCAGCCATGCCAATATGATAAAAAACAAAACAACAAAAAAAACAACAACTAAGAATTCTAAAACTTCCTTAAACAGTTTTGTTAATTGGGGCTTCATTCGGGAAAATGTGTAGTTTTTTGTCAAATAAGTCAACACAGATCCATCGGCATTGCTGTTGTGCATAGTAACCCCCCAAATGCCTA